TCTAACGGAGTGCATTGTGTCATTTTGCTCTCTTTCTCCCAGACGGTGCCCAACTGACCCTACTGTGCTGTCGACAAAATCAAAACCAAACAACGCGCATGCGCGAAATTGAAAATTAAAATGCCGAAAATTAATCAATTGTACCCTGATATCTATTTATTTGTGATATTATGTATTGTACTAGCTGTAGGTGTATATTCTCGAGAATTTGTGAGATCAGCAAACTCTCAATGCATTTTTTAATTAGTGAATACATTTCTCTCCTCATATTTATGGGCCGTGTCCTCTCAGGACGTAGGCGATCATAGCTCTCCACAATTTTCTGTTCTTTGTAGCTGTTAATAATTTTTGTCATTGTGTTATTTCCCCTCAACGTTATTACGCCATCCATTTACTCATGCTCATTATTTACTGGGTTTTGTTAAGTCGGCCACAATTTGGACAATTTTTATTTGTGTTTTAACCTTTTTAAGGGCACATTCTTTTGAACTTATAGGAAAGGCATTCTGGAGCCTCACGTTTATTTTTTATTATTAATATTTTTTTTATGTATAATCGATTTTTTCCTATTATTTATCATTAATTATAGATATAGTTTTCTTACTTATTCGTTGTTTTTTTTCTTATTTATCATTTACATAAATATTCTCATAAAAGTCAAAATGTGGCGTATTTGATATTATATATATATATATATATATATATATATATATATATATATATATATATCCCAAGCAAAAACGTGAAGCCACTAGGATGCAGGGGTTGCAGAAGAGTTGGAGCAAGAGCAGATAGGGAGTGATAGAAGAAAGGACGAGGAGAGGGATAGTGGGTAGATCAAGGTAACTGGAGATGTCGATTGACATTACATTTGAATAGATGGAGATTATAGCTCTCAGGGAAACAGTAATTGGGAAGGGTTTTCCACAGGCGAGAGGTGCGAGGTATGAAGCTATTGGAGTAGAAGAGACGGCTATATTTAATAGTTTCTACAGTGTAAGGGTGGGAGTGGGATGCCAGCCTCGTAGGGCGCTTGAATTCATGGAGTCTGGGAACCAGTGAAATTACTTGTAGAAAAGACAGAGAGAGGCATATATATATATATATATATATATATATATATATATATATATATTTATATGTATATATAGGTATGCAGAGGGACTTAGGAATACTTGGTTTGGTATCTATGTGCACGGTGAGCCCACTGGGAGTAATGGGGCCCAAAGACTTTGATACGGTATCCATCTAGAAGGAAACCACTGATGTAACAACCACCTAATTGTTAATGAGGATATGTACTCCTCTCTAGGATTATTAGCATTGCTGAACTGAGTCGTTTCAGTGCTGTGCAAGCTGTACACGACTATAGTTCTTGGCACGGGCATTGCTGGCATCTTAACATCTATTCTTGCTCTGGTTTCTCAAGTCCTGTTTCGATGGTGATGTAGCGATGCGTACAGGTCTGACGGAATGGTGTTGTAGCTGCTGACCTACACACTACCGAATTTTGTTTGCCTACCTATGGAGGCTGAGCTATCACCTGATTGCACATACACACACACACACACACACACACATATATATATATATATATATATATATATATATATATATATATATATATATACGGTTGGTTGATTTTTTGCTTTTGTGGGGGATCCATATTGCATTGAATGTGAAAGCTGGAAGTTGATGTGCTAAGTATTAACAGCAAAACATTAATTCATAGCTATTGCCAACTTTTGAGCATTTTGCTTTAAATATTGTCTGAAAAAAGTTTACAGAAATACCTAATTTCTGCAAGTTTTACACATGATTTTGTTAACAAACTGACTTCAAAATTTTACTATTTCAAGAATAAATCCAAATAAAGTTGATATTTTTTATTAGATACATGGAATGAAAAAGTTATTCAATTCTGAATTCTAATTTTCTAATATTTCTAAGCAAAATATTCAATTTTTCTTTTACTGTATTCGATAACTAAAACCGATGTAAAAAATTGTAAAGGACACAGTGGATAAAGGCGTTGGTTAGATCCAGTGACAGGGCCCAAAAGAGTGTGAGTTCAATACCTGGTTAAGGCGGTGGAGAACTTGGAGAGGGGGATTAACAGGAGATAACTGATAACTGACATCCATTAAACATGGCACGTGGAACTAGATCGGTCTACCCTAGTGAACGAAATAAAGTTTCGACATTCAACCACTTGAAGCAGACCGGAGCGTACAACGGCCGAAACGTTGTAATAAATATGGCGACAAAGATGAGAACAATAGTTCGAATAATGTAAATAGTGAAAATTTAAAAGATTGCAGAAAAAGCTACTCAGTGAATAAGATTTATTAGGTCATTGGTTAGATGATAATTAATAAAAACCAAAAAATAGATAAAACTGTACATGACACCATAATACTCCCAGGTATACATTATAAGAAAAATGTTTAAAATTTGATTTGTTTACTGAACATACACTAAAACTGCTACACTGTATAACATATTAAATCATAAAATATAAATGAAGGTCTTATTTGATGGCACAATGATTTAGTAATATGTGTGTGGCGTGCACCTTGTTCATATATAATTTGTAAAGCCCCAGTAAATTATAAATTTTAAAAGGCTGTGCTATAAGGCTTTTACTGAGCACCGGAATGAAATTTTAACGATGCGAGTTTGAACCTAAACTTAATTTTTAAACTTAATTATTTATCAAATCAAACCTCAACTTTCAAATTGAGCGCAATACCCGTTTTCAAAATCGACCTACACTAACGTACATACATCGTTATTGTCACATATTACTCAAATGAGAGACTCCACCTCGGGCAATTACATCCGGCAACAAGGCTTATGATTGGGATAGTAGAGTTTTTGGTGAGAATGGAACAACCTCTTAATTACTTTTGTTCTTAGATCCATCCTTACCCGAGGTAGTAGCAGCTGTCAGGGTCCCAGCTTATAGTGGCCCCAGACAAAATAAAACACTATGAGGGTATAAAAATACATTTTTATAGTAACATTACCAGCAATACATATTTATATATAAAAATTTACCAACAATATCTATTTATAGTAGAATTATCAACAAAATGACAAGCAATATATTTTATAGCAAAATCACTAACAATACATTTTATCTGTAATTGAATGTATACAACTGCGTTCAAAATATATTTAGTTGAAGCCATAAAACTTTGTTCAAAATATTTAGATGTCGGCATTAAATAACCTATAGATGTTGATATGTCGCTAAACAAAATAAATCAAAATTGACTTCCTCACCCATCGTATGTGATTGCTTCCGTCTCGTTTAGGCGTCCATGGCCCCTAAGATGACATTTGAGACCAGCATTCTTATATATATATATATATATATATATATATATATATATATATATATATATATATATATATATATATATGTCAAATCTGGTGCTGTTAATTTATTTTTAAAATTAGAGTAGGATAGATACTATATTGTTGTGACCTGTCTTTTCATAAATTCGGTCGATCGCGTTTGCATAATTTCCAAGTTCTGTGTCTGTCTGAGTAACCTATATTGTTGTGACTTCTTTTCAAAATTGTATTTTTGCAGTCTGTGTCGGGAGATTTCTTGTTTTGCAAACCCACTCGGAGAATGGAATTGATGAGATCTTCGTAAGAGAGGTGGAAATATGGTGGTTTATAAGAAGAGTGAAAGAGAGGTAGCATATTTGTCTGTCTGTTTATGGGTGGGAAGAGAGAGTGAGAGGCCGAGAGAATCGGAAAGATATGCGTGAGAAATGAGAAAGAGATGAAGAAAGAAAGAATGAAATAAGGCTGTTGATAAGAGGGGGGAAAGAATATAATGAAAGTATTAAAGATCAAGGAAATAGTGAAAGAGAGAATTAACATGAAAAGAAAAAGGAAATATTAAACAAATATGAAATTAAGAGGAAGGAAAGAACGTAGAGCGAAGGATAAAGAGAGATATGAATGAGAAAGGAAGAATAGAAATCAAAAATAAAAGAAAGAAAAAAAGTAGAAAGAAGAAAAAAAAGAAAAAAGAACAAAGTGAACATTAAAAAGCAATTACATAAAAAGGAAAGAAACCGAAGAAAAAGAAAGAAAGAAAGAACATTAGAAAGAAATCAAAGAGGAATCCTTTAATAAAGAAAGAAATGGAAAAGAAAAGGAAGAAAAAAGAAAGAAAGAACAATAGAAAAAGAAAGAGAAATTATATAAAAGGAAAGAAATGGAAAAGAAAAGGAAGAAAAAAGAAAGGACAATAGAAAAAAAATCAAAGAGAAATTATATAAAAAAGAAAGAAACGGAAAAGAAAAGGAAAAGAAAAGAAAGAAAAATAGAAAGAAAGCAAAGAGAAATTATATAAAAAAATGTAAGAAACGGAAGAAAAGGTAAGAGACCACTGGTCTGGTACTCACTCAATACTCACTGTCCAGTCAGTACAGAGTTCAAAAGCGATTACACGACATTTAGTGTGATGAATTATCCTCCCCCTTGAAACCCTTATCCCAGAGACAAAACGTTGCTCGCCTCTCACTAACGCTATCACTATGGCGGATGTTCAAACGAGTTGCATTCTTTATCACCACCAGCCGGTACCTTCACAACTCCGCCATGTTCACAGTGGAAAATTATCCTCATTTTCATCGTGCACCTTTGATAATGAATTCCACTCAGTCGGCAACTTTTCCGAAGTTGTAACATTGTAAAACATATTCCCTGGATGATGCTTCCTGAAAACTAATTTTTTTGTCTCTTCAAGTCGAGAGTCAAGCGATATCTAACCTACACGTCCTCTTAATGTGCACGTCTTGATTCCTCGTTTCACCTCCCTTATAATTATCTCGTTCAGTAACACTCTACATTGAGTGGCTCTTGGGCTTGTATTGGGCGAACTAATACTAAAAATAATCGAAAAACAGAAAAATAAAAGAAAGCTGTGAAAGACATGTTTAAAAAAAGATGATAGAAAGAAAGAGTGAAAATGACTAAAGAATGAAACGAAAGTGAGAGAAAATGAAAGATAATTCTGTGGGGATAATTTGAAAAAAGAGAGAGAGAGAGAGAGAGAAAGATGAAAGTAAAAGTAAAAAGAAAAAAGATGAGATGGCAAAAATAAAAACAAGAAGAAATCTATGACGTTGTTGGGAAAAGACAATGAAAAAAGAAAATAAAGAGAAAAGCGAAATAAAGAGGTAATATCTGTAAGTGAGAAAATAAAATTAATGAAAAATGAATGGGAGAAAAGTAAAAAAAAAAAGAAGAAAATTGTAAGGACAAGGAGAAAGAAAGAAAACTATGTAAAGTTAAGAAAAATAGATTTAATAGAAAGGGAAATTAAATCTAAGTAAGAAAGTTGTAAGGAAAGGAAAAAGAAAGAAGTAAAAGAAAAAAAGCAAATAAGAAGGAAAACGAAATTAAATATCAAAATGGAAAGGAGTAAAGCAAATTAGAAGTATAAATATTTGGGTAATAAAATGAAAAGAAAGGACCCGCCCCCACTAATGAGGAAAGCTGAAATTAAAAAGTAATGAAAAGGAAAGAAAAAAGGAGGAAAAAGAGGAAGAAATAAGAAAAGAAACAATAAATTAAAATAAAAGAAATGAAAGTCTAAAAATAGAAGCATAAAAAGGAAATCGCAAAAAAAAAAAAAAAAAAAAAAAAAAAAAAAAAAACGAACCCCGAAGAAAGGAAGATGGAAAGAAAAAATCAAAAGAAGGAAAATAGGGAAAAAGAAAAAAAAAAAAAAGGCAAACGAAAACAAAAAAAAGAGTAAAAAAAAAAAGCAGAAAAAGAAAAGAAAGGCAGAAAACAGAAGGACGGAAAAGAAAGAAAGAAAACAAAAAAGAATAAAAAAAGCATGAACAAAACAATAAATAAGAAAACAAAAGAAAAAAGGAAAAAGAAAAATGTAAGTATGAGAGAGAGGAAAAGAAAAGGAAAGAAGAGAAAAAGAAAGATAGATAGGAAAGTAAGTGAAAGAAATAAAAGGAAGGAAGGCATGAACAGAAAAGAAAGAAACAAAGAAAAAAGATGGAAAACAAATTGAAAAAGAAAAAGTAGAAAAAAAGAAGACCTGATCATAGGAAAGGAAAAATAAAAAGGAAAAGAAGAAAAATGTAACTAAGAAAGAAAAAAAAAGAAAGAACGAGGAGATGAAAAAAAGAAAACAGAAAAAAGAAAGATGGGAAAGTAAGTTAAAGATAGTAAAAGAAGAAAGAAAATAAGAAAACGTGAACAGAACAGAAAAGAAAAGAAAAGAAAAGAAAAAGATAGAAGCATAAAGAAAATGATTGAAGAAAAGAAATAAAGACCCCACCACCAAAAAAAAAGTAAAAGAAAGAAGGTATGAGCGGAAGAAAGAAAAGAAAAGAAAGAGGAAAGAAGAAAATGTGACTAGAAAAGAAAGAAAGAAAGAAAGAAAGAAAAAAGAATGAAAGAAAAGAAGAAAGAAAGAAAGAAAGAAATTGAAGACGAAAGAAAAAAGAAAGCCGAAAGAAACATAAAAAAGTCAAAGAAAGTAAAAGGAGAAAGAAAGAAGTGATGAACCTGAAAAAAAAAAAAAAAAAAAGAAAGAGAATAAGAGTAGCAATTGAAGGACGAAGCAGTGAATAACGAATAACACAGCCGGATGAGCGGACAAGTTGTCTAATATAAAACGCTTTGATCTGCTGACCAGTTCTGATGTCTCCAACTGCTCCTGGCACTGACCAGCTGATAATGTTTGGTCAATTAGTTGTATGTCCCTCTGCTTTCGTGGTCTGACTGGTCTGCAAGGAATGAAGAGGCCAACGTGGAAAAGTGGCAGAGAAGCAGGTGGCGTGTGCACCGCTCACACTTAGCGACCACTGCACGTAGAACTAGGCAAGAGGCCAAATGCCGATATCGTTGACCGTCACGAGGATGTTGAGAGATGAGTGGTCAAATGGCTCAGGCTAGTGGTAATGATATTGGGCATGAAACTGCTTATATTGGTAGATAATTGGAAAGACGGTCTGATAGATATCGAGTTATATTTTAACTTTTCTTAATAGATCCTAATAAATATCATTTGGTGGACAGAGGTGTCGATATGATTGTAGATTTGAGCACTGGCTAAGTAATACGCTTCTGGAGAGATACTGTTTAAGGGGGCGGTTTTGCAAAACGAATGTTCAATATGGAGGATTTGATCTCAAGTCTTGTTTTCAAGATATTTTTGTACATATTTCACACTCTTTCATAAATAGAAAATATTCGACATGTTGACCTGCAACTAGAAAGCATCAATAAAATAAAAAAAGTAGTTAAAAATTACTATTGAAACTGCATACATAAAATACTTATTTTATTGTGAGTATTCATAGTATATTTTTAATCTTTTCACCCCAAGAAACGCAAAAAAAAACCCCTCAGTGACACGCAAAGAGTGTGAGAGAATATGAGAAAAAAAACATAATTAAGAAGAGAGAACAATAAAAAAACAAGAATGACGATGACATAACACAGGGCAAGATGGGTTAATTTTTCGACATTTTATATTTTTAATTTCAGGTTGTTTCGTTTTGATTTTGTCGACTGCACAATATTAGGTTCAGTTGGACAACGTCTGTGAGAAAAAAAAACAAAAAAACAAAAAACAAAAAACAAAAAACGAAAAAACACCATGATGCAATTCACTCCACACAAATTTGGAAACGACATGCTGTACTGCTTGGTATTTGCGTCGGAATCTTCAATGCGAACATTTCAGGGTGTTTGGATGTCAATCTGAGGACAATGCAAAGGATTAGGAAAGAGTTGGACGAGTGTAATGGTGATTACGAAGGTAAGGCAGCTCGGAAATCTCTTATGGTTCTGATAAGAAAAGAACTCCTGAATTTGTTGGTGGGGGTCTCAAACTCACCACTGAGGCGTACATCAAGTGCCTTGAGGAGGTAGTGCTGCACTGGGTCAAGAGGGTGGCTGCTGGAAGACCCTATGTCTGACAACATGACTCTGCACCGTGCCAGACAAGCAGGAGGACCCACTTATGGCTGTCAGACAATTTCTGCTGCCAAATCCCCGCTTACATCTGGCCACCTAACTCTCCAGACTGCAACCCCGATTACTTATTATTTGTGGAGTGCAGTTGAGCGAGAGCACTACAAAACTCCTTGTAACACCAAAGTTGACCTGAATGCAATGATTCTGGCAGCATTCACCAACTTAGATAAGGAGATTGTCCAGAAGAGATTCAGGAGATTCCGAAGTCGTCTGGAGGCCGTGGTTGAAGTCAATGGCGAATCTATTGAATAAATTTACTCTTTAGTATTTCAAGATATTTTTGTGGAATTTTGGTAAGTATATATGTTGAAATGAAATGTCAGTGTTATTTTCTTTTTTGCCTAATTTAGACAAAAATGTATGCATCGCACCCTTTATAACGATTGACATTTAAATTTTTGAAGATAAAAGTTGGAAGAGTGTTCCACAAGCAAGAGGAGTGCGAACAGAATTTGTTAGCATAGAACTTGCGTCTACATCTAGCCATTTCAAAAAACGCCAATCTGATCCTGGGATTTAATGAATAAAATCTAGGCACTAGAGGAAAGTTCATCAGTACAATTACTATGAAACTCTTTATAGAAAAGACACAGGGAAGCTAGGTTATGGCGTTAGGAATGTGACTGAAGCTGAGATGCCAGGATAAGACCAAAGTCATTACAGATTCTTTGTATTCAAGACTCACTAAATACATAGCAGAAGCACCAGACCTGATGTGTCAGCAATATTCAAAGCATGGACGAATGAAAGACTTATCATTTTTCTAAGACAGCTTCTGTCAAGAAAAAATGTCTAGCACGATACAAAGATGAATATTGTCATAACAAGAATAAAAAACGTTGGAAAGTTTTTTCATCCACTAGAAATACTTTGTTGATGGAGTTATATATATGTATCAGGAGAATATATAAAAACGCTTTGTCATTCATTTTCTAATATTAATAATATTCTGATATATAGATATTTATATATCATATTTTCCCATGTTTTTATTATTCCATGTTTTTTTTTTCCGATTTGGCATCTTCGTCTATTCATCCAATCGTCTTTATGGAATATTGAAAAAAGAAAGTCATTTTAAGAAATATACCGAGTGGACCAAAAGTAGGTGGACAGTAGTTGGAATAAGTCAGTGTATCAGTTATATCATTACAATGGTGTTCATTATAATGGTGGTAGTTGTGGTATATTATTTTAAATTTTATAACTAAATTTATCTATTTTATTTTTTCGGATAATTGTATTAATAAATATAATTGTACATGCAACCTCAAAAAAAATTTATTTACTGTCGACCTACTTTTGGACCACTCTGTATATATTCACATATACAAATATATAAAAGTAAGAGGCGGAAGAATAAGGAAAAGAAAAAAATATCACACACATTGTTCACCGGTTGTCGTTCTTCACTCTTCAGATTTCAATCGAGGACAAAGTATATATTTGTAGAACAGGTAAAATTAAAGCGGAGAACATGATCACCATTGTCAGCATTATGAGTCATAAATAAATTATATTAAGACCCAGTAACTATTCCTTCAACTTACATAGGAAATATTGCTTCGAGTTAATATATATATTTTTTACAGTAACTTCACCCTGTACAAGGCTCGCTTGCCACTCGAGGTAGAGCTAAGAGGCAATTGGTGCGGATAGGAGGGAAAGATAACGGTTAGCCCTAGACTTGAACTTGTAGCGATCGAGAGTTGGTTCCACAGAGCAGTGGTTTGAGGAAAGAAGTTATTCGAGTTGAACTTACTTATCACCAATGGAATAAGGAGGGAATGTGGGTAGTTTGCTACAATGTAAATGACATGGCAGGTCCCAGCCGAGAAGGTTAGGACTGCCAGAACCATGGAATAGAGTTCGTCCGAGCACTTTCCGTTGAAGTAGCGACAAAGCAGCGAGGGGCTTGTCACATCTCGCCCGTGAGAGAGAGGTTGGATGGGGGAAAATAATTCGTCACCCACAAGGACTCGGAGACGGGAAAGGGAGGTCTGGGCTGCTCTCATTCAAATATGGCAAGAGTACTCAAATTAGTCCTGATGTGGCTCTTGTAAAGGTGGAGAGTGGCATGAAGAGTCAGGTATTTACTGAAGCGCTACAGGAATCCACCCATTTTACCTGCAATGGATAGTATGTACAAGCCCCATTTGCGGTGAGGGCCCAATCGTCTTTCAAGGCACGGTTCATCCCTGAGCGGAAATCCGTTCATCGTAACTCGTGATAGTTTGGGATCCGATTGGTAACGGTGGAATGTGACTAATTTGGTTTGGGAGACATTGAATGTAAATAGTTTTTACCCTACTGTGTAGTTTGTACAAGATCGGAAGAAAGATCAGTTGCCAATCGCTGACCACCAAGTGTTTTAAAAGAGAGCTCGTATATAGTCGTATCATAGGTATAGACATTTAAGTTTGACCTGAGTATATGCAGATCATTCATGTAAATCAAAAAGAAGCTTGGTCCGAGGAGTGACACCTGGAGGGCGCCTGCGTTGGTGTCTAGGGCTCAGAGGTGGACTGGCCATTAATAACCACTTTAAGGGACCTACCTGTTAGAAAGGACATTACGATCGATAAGGCCCTTCCAGTGATTCCATAGCTGGAGAACTTATATAGTAAGCCTTTGTGCCACATCTTGCCAGAAACCTTCTAGATATCTAATGCCATGGTTCATGCTGCTGAAGACTGAGACAAAAGCCCTGGCAAAGACGATATAGAAATGAGATTATTGGTTAAATAATTTTTTTAATTGTCTGAAATATTGACAACCATTATTTTACTGATTATCATAAAGCGTAATGTACGTGTGTCCGTCTGACCGTCCCTTTTTCGATCACCTGAAGTAACATGTGGTATCTACTGTAGTTACACGCGATTAAAAATTCACAACTCATTTAGAGTTAAATTTAAATATAGAATAGACTGAATTGTGTAAATAAATTATTCTTTACTAAATGTTTAACTTTAATTTCCTCGCATTTGCAATTGATATCGTCTAATTAAACACTAATTATAACTTAAGCGGTACACGGTACGTTGGTCATATGTTTCTTTTTCTTTTTCTAGCACGCGTACTGTGACGTATTCAAGATATTACATACTTCCGGTTCACTAATGTCGTTTAAGTGTAACTTTATATGAAAGTTTCATAAGGAAATAAAAATTGAGCGCAACATGAATGCAAACGAACTACGGAAATCGGTTGCCTCTACGAATTAAAGTGGCGTATAAAGATAAAATTATATCTTATATAGGACGCCGAAGGTAAAAGGCAGAAGGCCCAAAAGCCTTCTATAGAAGCTAACTTAAAGCCCAATCGTAGGGTGACTTCGAGGTTGGTTATTAACCAAATGAAGGTTACAGCAAAAAAACAAATAATTAATGGAATCCCTTATATATTTTTACAAGCATTTTTTGTGTGTCACCGCCATTCGCATTCATACATTTCCTAGATCCAAATGTTTCACCAGAAATTTCTCTTCTTCGGATCTCTGTGCTATTTGAATTGGAGTGAGA